CTGGCTGACATGTCACCTGAGGGTCATGTAAACTATGTATGACAGAGACTCCCACTTCCCTCTCCCCCTTCCAAAAGAACAATAAAACCCCCATGGCCTCAGCCACCTATAAATCTAGATCTCTAGCTGTACAGGTTACTCAACTCTGTCCATCATCTTTTAAACTCTACAAACCCCACTTTGGCTGAGGATTGCTGGCTTTGTCTCTCTCCAAGCCTTCCACGGGTATTGGCAACCCCCATGGGCTCACTAGAGGCTTCATCAGGTAATAAATTAAACCCTCTCCTAACAAGACCTAATATTACCAATATAAAACTAACCCATCCTGCTTCCAGAGCCTCCAAAGTTTACAAGGGTCAATTCCACTGGGGGAAATCTCCAAAAACTTTTATATCAATATCACACAATCAACAAATGACACTCTGTTTGTTTCCCCCCCAGAACTTATTTTGTTTGCAGAACTGCTGTTTACACTTGCCTACCTCCTGGCTGGAAGGCAATCTGTACTAAGTACGGCTCTCCTAATCCCACAAATTGATGTTGTCTCTGGTAACCAATCCCTTCCTATTCCTCTAGAGGCCTACACTCGATCAAAGAGAGCTATCCAAATCATTCCCCTACTGATAGCTATGGGGATCATGGCTGGAATAGGTACTGGCACCTCAGCCCAAACCTATCAAAAGATGTCAACAGAATTTAATAATGACATAGAACGGTTCACACAGTCTATAAAGGCTTTACACGATGAGGTAGATTCACTCACATCAGTAGTGCACCAAAATAGATGTGCTGAAAAGGGTGGAACATGCCTTTTCCTAAATGAGGAATATAGCTTTTATACTAACAAATCTGCTCCTTCTAATACTCCCATTTAGGCCTTGCATAATAAATGCTCTCTCCAGATTCATATCTCAACAGGTTCAAAGGATCAAACTCCAGCTCTTAGTCAAGCAATACTCACCTGTGCCTACGCATGAGCCCTCCATCCGGTTCTATCGGGGGCCCCTGAAGACTACATGGATCAACCCCTAAGACAAGTACCAACCCCCCACCCCTTTGCCCCATTGCCAGAACAAACCAGCTAGATGAGTCATCACTCCTCTCCCCAGCAGCAGTTGGGTACTTGTCTCAGAGGTGGGAACTTGTTGGGTCTGGAGACCTAAAGGGCAGATGAGTGAGCATCCCATCCCCCATGGACAGCACTATGATTCCTGCATCCTGAGGAGGTGTAAATCTGCATTCCTGCATCCTACAGAGGAGATACAGGGTCTCATAGATCTGCCACAGGGCTGATGAGCAAAATGCTCTCAAGATTGCCTCCCCCACCCCCAATAAGGGGCAAACATACCAACTCATTTAAGAAAGCCCATGAATCCATGGCCAATGAGAAGAGCCCACCTAACCCTTACCCAAACCCAGAGTTAAAACATTCATAAAAGCCCCAGCCTTCACCTGATCAGGGAGCCACCAGTTTCCAGGCTCTGCTGCACTGCTTAGCTGTAGCCTTTCCTTTCTCTCTAATAAATCCTACCTCATACACCGGCTTTGGCTCACAAGCTGCCTCACGAGCCAGTTCTGTGGCCTGTGAAGGCAAGGACCCTCGACACCGGCCCACAACCTTTCACACAGCACATAACAAGTTCAAACCCCAGTATTGCCAAAAAAATGAAAATAAAAATAAAATAAACTTGATCCTATGAATTATATTACAGAATGAATTTTCTTCCAACCTTTTGTTATTGTTATTGCTTTCTGTAGTGCTAGGGATTGAACTGAGGGCTTTGCATTTTCAAGGCTGGCACTCTACTTTAGCCCCAGCTGTAGCAACAGTTGTCCTGGAACCTAAACTGTATTTAAGCATTTCAAAGTATTTCTAATGTTCTTATTCTATTGCCTAAAATAATTGCTGTTTTTAATGGATTAGGCCAATATTGCAAAACTCACTTTTTTTCCTATATGTGAAAACAGAAGTCAAGTCAGATCTTGTTTTGGTATGAGGCAGCACAGCCAGCAGTTAGTATTATAAGTTCTGGAGTCAAGATGACCTCAAATTCTGGCTTTATCTGGGTATGGTGGTGCACACTTCTAATGCCAGCACTCGGGAGGCTGAGAGAGGAGATTAAAGGACAACCTGGAATACATAGTGAGGCCCTGTGTCAAAACAAAAAAGAATTCTGGTTTTACCAGTCAATTGCTGTGTGATCACAGGTTCACGTTTCACCACTCTAAGCCTCACTTTCCACATCTGCAAAATGGGAATACCAACAAGACCATGTAGTGAGCCCATCATTAGATAATGTACATAATGCATTTTGGACAGTGTGTGGCAACTATTAGTCATTACTATTCTAATGACAATTCCTATTAATGACTGGAAGTTAAATACTTAAGATTAAACCAGTTACCTGCCTCCAAAGATACTAAAATAACAATCATACCTGTTAGAATATTATCTATTTCTTTTGGAAGGGGGTGCTGTAAATTGAGCCCAGGGACTTGTATATGCCAAGAATGCTCTCTACCACTGAGCTACACTCCCCAGCCCCAGAATATTGTTAAAAATATAGTATGCACAGGTATTGGACAGTCACCTGCTCTGTTTGGTAAACATTTACCCTCATACAAACTATGCACCAACTCTTTCAAACTCCCAGCGACACTGAGATGCCAACAGAGAAATGAAACATATTACAGAGCTGAATAGTGAAGGTTTATATCACTTGGCTGTGGATCTGTCTATTCTTACTCAGTTGAACCCATACATTTTCTTAGATTCAGATTCATTTCTTCCAGCCTTTAGACTGTAGACTATGTTAATTTTCACAGCAGTCCAGAAGCCTGTCCTTCACACTGACAAATGTTAGAAGCCCTCATTCTCAGGTTCATGTTTTGAACTAGTGCTACCAAATCCCTCTTGTGGTCATGGAGACTATTTGCAAGGTACTGGGAGAAATCACAAGGAAAATCAACCACATACATAACCCATAGAACTGTGGTCTCAGACACCTTTTCTTGGTGGGTGTGTGTGTGTGTAGGGCTGGGGATCACACTCAGGGCCTTTCATTTTCTCAGCAAGCACTCTGCCACTGGTCCATGTTCACAGCCCTTGAGGTTTTTTGGGTAGTACTGGGGATTGAACTCAGGGGCTCTCGCTTGCTAGACAGGCATTCTCCCTCACCTTTTTTGTGTTGAGTATTTTCAACATAGGGTCTCCTGAACTATTTGCCTAGGCTGTCCTTAAACTTCGACCTTCTTATCTCTGCCTCCTGAGTAGCTAGGATTATGGGCACCCAATTAGCTCTTGGTTTTTTGAGCCAGGGAGTCACAGGGTAGCCCAGGCTGGCCTTTTAACTTGTGACACTCACCCTAGTGCTGGAATTACAGACATGTACCACTACACCCAGCTCAGACACCCTTTATATTTGATTTGGACACCATTTGAGTCCAGGTTCCTTTTGATATTTAGTGGATGGAACAAGAAAATCATACTCTTAAGAGGGAAGTGCAGAGTGTTAAGTTCAGGAGTGTCTTTTCTAACTACTCCTGAACCTAACAAGGAGAATGCAGTAACTTCAATTATTTTAACCTGCTCTTCTCCCTTCCTGTCATGTACAATAAAAAGATGTAATGTTCTCAACTTTTATTTTGTTTCCATGTTTAATAGTATGTTCTATGTTGTTTCACAATAATAAACTTTCAGAATACAAACCTCTAGAAACAAATATAAATCTTTAGAACTATGAGCCTGTAACTGTGATGGCCTTAGGAAAGCCCACCTGTGACGGAAAGCGAAGTGAACTAGTAAGTATAATACAATAATAGCTAATATTTAATGGAGAGGGCATGGGAGACTTTAAAAAACTTTCAGAATATGCAGTCTATGACCAATGTTGTTTTTTGCGATGCTAAGCATCAAACCCAGGTCTCACTATGTACATCACGACCTAAAACTCAGATCCCCCTGCTTCCCCCTCCCCCCGCAGGTGGAGCTGGGGATTACAGGCGTGCACCACCGCCCCGCTCTTTTTCTTACTCCCAGTCCCAACCCCCTTCTCAGAATGTAAACCCTTCCAATTTTTCCCCATTTCCTTCACGAGTCACCACGAGGTGATAATAATATGGTTATTTACCTGAAGGAGGTAAACGCAAAAAAAAAATTTTCACTTTCGAAAGGTCAAAATCAAATGCAACCTCTCTTCCTAGCAGGGAGTTTATGTTTTCCTTTTACCGCATCCCGCCACCCAGGAAAGTGCCTGACAATGCGGAATCAATAAAATCCTTTACTTTAAAATCTGACAGTGGTCACAGGTTGAGTGATAACTGACGCCCAGTACAAGGTTTGAAAATGGCCCGAAGGAGCGTTTGGCCCAGCACAACCAGGAGGGAAGAGCTTGCGCTCAAGTAGTTTCATTCCTCCGTGGTTTGCAAGGTAATTAGCTTAAGGCTAATTAATCCAAAGGTCTGTGTGAAGAAAACGCTGCTTTAGAGGCTCCTGTAACAAAGTGCAGCAAGAATCTGTCCAAGGTTTCTCTACCCAGATGTACTTCAAGTTGTGAAAAACCGGTGCAAGCAAGCATTAAACGTTCTAACTACCTTACTTAACAAAGCAGCAGGACAAAATGGCGCCCACAGCGAGAAACGTGAACTGGGAGAACGTCCGCGAGCGCGCAATGTGAGCGCGCCTGGGCTCGCTCCCGAGCTACGCTGGGACATCCAATGAACGCTGCAGTTAAAGCTTCAACCCCCATCTTCCGCCACGCCTTTTGCACATGCGCTCCAGGCCCTTAACCGATGTCAACTGCGCATACGCATCAGGGTCCCCCTTTCGCACAACTGACGCAAGAAGACTATTCGCTTCACAATTTATCCCGTGTGACCTTGAGTTTTTCCTGCCGCCGAGGACCGGGGCTGTCTAAGGTGCTGCCTGCTTGCGCCTTTTCCCCTTCTCGTTTCTCACTGATTCCACGGCCGCCGCGTTGGTAACGAGAGGCTGACTGTTTTTTTTTAAACAATTATGCTGCGGAGCACATTATTCGCACACCGAGGTTCCGGGAGCGTTAGGTAGTCTGTGATCAGGCATAACGTTCGGCGCCTCAGCGGAAAAGCGGGCCTCTGGGCCGCAGTGACCAACCCCCGCCCTTCACCCCACGTGGTTGGAGGTTTCCAGAAGCGGTCCCGCCACCGTGCTGCGCAGCTCCGAGCCTGCGGGGTGCTTGTGTAGTGCTTCGTACTCCCTCCGTCCAGCCGCCATGATAAGCGCCAGCCGAGCCGCAGCAGCCCGTCTCGTGGGCGCCGCGGCCTCTCGGGGACCCACGGCCGCCCGCCACCAGGTAAGGAACTTTCGGGCCTTCCCGAAGGGATTCACGGTCTAGGTCCTCAGTAGTACAGGCCGCGCCCTTCAGGGTCAGGCTCCTGCGCGAGAAATCAGGAGAGAAAGAAGATAACGGATCTTTCGTAGTTCTATTCTGCAGGTTAAAGCCCTCGTTCAGAGTTCTGCCTCCGTGTCTCGAGGCCTGCTGAGTCACATCTCTCGCAATCTAAAGTTTTGTACCGCTAATTCTGCGGTTAGTGGTCCTGGCAGCCCTATTTGTGGCTGGTTGGATACGTTTATCCTCTGGGGCGAAAATTACAGTTTACCGGGAGGGAGGGCTACAAGAGATGGTTCTATTTTCACCTAAGAGGCGAAGGATGGTTGCATCTCTTTTATAGAGCCGTGTGTGCAAGGATCGCGTCGTTAGGATAATATAAAGGGAGAAACAGGAAGTCGAAAGTCAGATTCTTATTTCCATTTTTCGTGCTTAGGAACATCTTTTCAGAATCTTAGGTGAAAGATTGTACTCATTCGCCGTTTAGAATGAGCAGAATATGAATTTAAAAGAAAAGATCGTGGAGTGGTCGCTCTTTATCTAAAACAAGAAACGTGCGTCTGGAGAACGGGAACAGTAGTTGAAAGTTAGATTATAACAAGTTAATGACCAGCGTTTTTTTTTTATAACGCTTCCAGATTAATAGCTGTAATTTAAAGTAGTTGTTTGGCAAGATGAGTGGAAATGTTTCTGAGTAATTTAAATCTAAACTTAAGTAGACACACTCAGGTTAAGGTGCTTACAAGAGAAATTGAGAAGTATTTGAGTAATATCTCCCTAATGCAACAGTTCTCATCCAGAAGCAGTTTTGCCCCCAGGGGTTGTCTGGCAATGTTTGGGGCTAAATTAGGTTGTCATGATTTGAGGAAGAATACCTAGAAGCCAGGATGGCTTGTAAGCATCCTAAAATGCACTGAACGGCCCCCACAACAAAAATTAGTCACAAGATCAATAGTGCCAGGGTTGAAAGGCCCTGTTGCATGTAATTCAAGATAATTTTATATTTACTTTTTACTTGATTTATGTGTTAAATGCTCATTATATGCTAAGCACTTTTTCATTCTATTATGCTTTATACAGACTACTTAGTGGAATGAAACTCTCAAAAGTTTCCTGAGACTCTCAGAAGAATAATTGGCACAAGTTCAAGTTTCTTTATGTAGTTGTTGGGTGATGCAATTTTTTTTTTTCTTCTTTTTCAGGATGGCTGGAATGGACTTAGTCATGAGGCTTTTAGATTTGTTTCAAGGAGGGATTATGCGTAAGTATGAGTTCAGTTTTTTTGAGAGAGAATACATATTAAACCCCAGAGCAGTGGTCTCTACATTTGTAACTATTACTCTCAACTGATTACCCATCTATATTTCTTAGATTATGTAATGTGCCACTATCAAATGTCATATCAAAGTCTGATCAAATATATTTCCTCCAGTAATTTTGAAAGCCACCACTAAGATGATAACCATGGCATGTCTTACAGATCAGAAGCAATCAAGGGTGCAGTTGTTGGTATTGATTTGGGTACTACCAACTCCTGTGTGGCAGTTATGGAAGGCAAACAAGCAAAGGTGAGCATGATTGGAAACTTTGGGTTACCTAACTACCTAACCCAGCAGTCTGTGGATAAGGGATTCTAAGACCTGGTTTATATTTTAAAAGCTGCTTTGGACTTGGTCTTATTATTTATTTTATATTTTTTCATTGCCAGAGATAACCCAAAGCCTCACACATGCTAGGAAAGTTCTGTACCACCATGGTTTGGATTTGTGGGGCAAACAGTTTTGATGCTCATAATTAGATTTTACTTCCTAGGACAAGATGTAAATGTGTTCTTCTGGGATAGGGGTGAGACTGTAATCACAGTCCTGCAAGTTTGTAAAGTCTTATTCTGAAGCCTCCTTATTCTGTACGGGAAACCTTTATTCCGAGTTCCTAACAAGATTTACATCATCTGGGATTCTAGCATCTGGCCTATTCCATTCATGCGCTTTCATGCTTCCTTTCTTTCATGCCCTCTGAAATAAGCTTGAGCTTATTCCAATAAGACTCAAGTGGAATTGAGTCTTATTCCACTTGTTCTGTACCAGGAAAAAAATAATCCCTTCCTTATCCCTGTTTTATACTTTGTGGCATTTTTTTATATGCCTAAAACTTGTAGCCATCATAAAAATTTGAAATAGATTTAATTCTCCATATAAAAGAGATTTTTTTCCCAGTTTGGAAATCTTTTATCCCTTTCTTTTTTATTACTTGCGCGTTTCAAAATAACTAAAAATGGCAGGATATCTTAAATCCATCTTCAATAGTAGGTATTTACTGAGTCTGTATTCACAGTATAAAACATGCCAATTAGTAGTACTCTTAAGCTTTTATTTTGTGATTTGGGGCCTGTTCTGTGTTTTTGAGGCAGGGGAAGTACTTGGGTTTAAACTTAGATCCTCACATTTGCTAGACAAGTGCTCTACCACTTAAGCTATATCCTTAGCCCTTTTTACTCTATTTTCAAATAGTGTCTTGAATTTTGGAGGGAGTAGAGGGAAGAGGTTCTCATTTTTGCCTGGGGTCAGCCTCAGGCATGATCTTCCTACCTCCTTCTGCCCAGCTAGGATTACAGGTGTGAACCACTAAATCTAACTTGCTATGCATTCTATCACTTGAGCTGTGCCCCTAGCCCTTTTTTGGTTTTGTTACTTTGGGGATCAGTTCTCACATTTATGCCCTGGCTGGGCTGGACCGGACTGCCATCCTCCTATTTATGCTTCCCTGTGTAGTTAGGATTACAGCCACTTGCCACTACACCTACTTAGCAGGATGGGAGTCTCGCTAACTTTGTACCCAGGCTGGCTTCAAACCTCTGTCCTCTTGATCCCAGCCTTCTGTGTAGTTATGAGTAGTCATTGTGCCTGACCCCAGCTTGCTTATTGAGATAGGGTCTTGCTAACTTTTGCCTGGCCTACCCTTGAACCTCTATCCTTTGACCAGTCACCTCCCTCATAGTGCTGTTTTGTCGTACGCAATTGCTTCAAAGATGGCAGTGATACCTTGAAGCTTATTCTTGTCTTATTTTGGAAACTTTAGGTGCTAGAGAATGCCGAAGGTGCCAGAACCACGCCTTCCGTTGTTGCCTTTACAGCAGATGGTGAACGCCTTGTTGGCATGCCAGCAAAGCGACAGGCTGTCACCAACCCAAACAATACTTTCTATGCTACCAAGCGTCTAATTGGCCGGCGCTATGATGATCCTGAAGTACAGAAAGACATGTAAGTAATAGCAGAAGCAAAACACAGAAGACTTAAGTGCTTTGAACCAAATCCCTAGAGCGCCTTACTTTAAAAGTGCTTTATTTATATCCCTATGGAAAGAGTAGTTCATTTAAAAAAAGTCTTTTCTGGTATTGACCTGTTGACATGAAATATAAAGGTTTGTGAGACATTCCTAAAGTATGTAAATGGAATTGAACACTTAAGACAGATAATGACATAGGTTCCACCATGTGTCCAATAGATACATATATATGCATAGAGAAAACTTGACTGGCTTTTTTTTTAAACCAAGTTAAAAATATAGAAGCTTAGTAGTTTGCCATTACATAATCTTTAAAAAAAAAAAACCCTTTGGTGAGCTCGCAGTGGAATGTGAGTGGTATCATATGTGGACTTGTGTGACTAACTTCTTTCAGTTAGGATAATTCAGGGTTCATCCATCTTGTAGCTTATATCAGTACTTCATTCCTTTTTCTTGACCAAATAATATTCTGTTGTAAGAATACTTTGTGTGTGTGTGGTACTGGGGCTTGAACTCAGGGCCTACACCTTAAACTGCTCCACCAGCCCTTTTTTTTGTGTGTTAGGTATTTTTGAGATAGGGTCTCTCAAACTATTTGCCTGGGCTGCATTTGAACTGTGAACCTCCTGATCACTGCTTTCTGAGTAGCTAGGATTACAGGTGTGAGCCACCAGCACCCAGCATGTATTTTGTTTATCCTTTTGCCAATTGGTGGGCATTTGGGTTATTTCTACTTTTTGGCTAGAATAATGTTGCCATAGGCATTTGTGTATAGTTTGTGTGAACATGTTCTTATTTCTCTTGGTTAGGTAAGATACCTAGTAGTGCAATTGCTGTGGCATATGATAACTATATTTCATTTTCAAATGGAACTTGCAGACTACAAAACAGTTGCAGAAATCTTTTACTTGGTAGGAAGTGAATTCAGGTCATATCAGGATATTTTTACATATTAACGATTATTTTCTAAAGATTTTCATTAAATAATTTCTAGAAACTATAATTGGTTGCCCATAGCTCTCTTGTGGGGTGGAAAATAGACAATGATATATGATAACCTTGTGATGGTAGGTTGCATTGCCCAATTTTCTCACATAATTTTTGTGTCTCTCAGTAAGAATGTTCCCTTTAAAATTGTTCGTGCCTCCAATGGTGATGCCTGGGTTGAGGCTCATGGAAAACTTTATTCTCCAAGTCAAATTGGAGCATTTGTGTTGATGAAGATGAAAGAAACTGCAGGTAAGTTCACACCTAGGAGAAGTTCAAAGAACTGGGTGATTCCCTTGAGATTACTCTTCTATACCCTGGCGTCCTATAGATGAGTTACGGTGTCTTTTGTATAGAAAATCTAGGAATGACAGAAATTTGTTACTTTTCATACTTAACCTGTAGATTGACTTTAACTTAGAGTTTTCCTAATGATGCTTAGCATGTTTCTTTTTTCCAGTAGAGGTTAGTGTTCTGTATTGAGAACTAGAAAGCTTTTGTCTCGATTAAGTAAAACTTAGAATTTGAAGAAACTAATGTCTGTTTTAAGTTTAAAGGTCATTGTGCCTTGGTGAGCCGTCACTGAAATGTTTGTTTTCATCCTCTTGTGCGGGGAGCAAGCTCAGGGCCTCACACATGCTAGGCACACATTCTTTCACTGGGCCACATACACTCCCAGCCTTCAGCCAGTATCTTCAAGGTCTCTACATGTTAAGTTACTTGCTAAAAAAATTGATGGGTGATATCTATGGCTTAAAAAAAATGACACTATTTTGCTAGAAAACAGTAATTTGTTGCCTGTTTTGTCTGGCCTATTACCATATTGAATTTTATTCTTTTGATTCTTTTCCAGAAAATTACTTGGGACACACAGCAAAAAATGCTGTGATCACAGTTCCTGCTTATTTCAATGACTCACAGAGACAGGTAAGGTCAATTAGTTTTCTTATTCACAAAAAGTAATGGTAACTGCCACACAAGGGTGGAAAAATGCTTTTATCTTTGTTTTCTCTAGGCCACTAAGGATGCTGGCCAAATATCTGGACTAAATGTGCTTCGGGTGATTAATGAACCCACAGCTGCTGCTCTGGCTTATGGGCTAGACAAATCTGAAGATAAAGTGTAAGTGTAAATTCAATCTAGATGTGTGAAACTTAAGGTCAGTTAGCCATGAAACTTACCCTACATCATCTTGATTTTTTTAGTGATAGAGGTTTGTACTTAGAATAAAAATACACTTCCTTTACCATCTTCAAGTTTGTATAGTCTTGTTTTTAATTCATTTCAGTACCATTCCTCTGCTTACTTAGAGCCTTGTGGTTTTTCTGTTGGCATGAATACTGACAAGTATTCCTCCAAAACCATGGTTGAATGCTGTCAGCTTTATTGTTTTTTAAGGCTGAATTCATTTGAGCTTTGTGTGTATGCTTTTTTGTTGTTGTTACCTATCGGGGCTATAGTTGCCACATTTCATAATTATAGGCGAATACCTTGGTTTATCTTCCTTTGGTTGAGATTCATACCCCTTGTCATACGGTTTGTTCCTTAAGGATCTTTCTTTCCTTATCCTTTCCCCTTTCTTCCATCCTAATAAGGCTTTATGGGGCTCTGCAGTACCTGGGAGGCAGTACATGGGACAGAATTCCAAGACTAGATCTCTGAAGATGCTTAAACCAAAAAAAGATGAGTCACGGGTCAGTTATCTTTTTTCTCCCCCCTCCCTTCTAGCATTGCTGTATATGATTTAGGTGGTGGAACTTTTGATATTTCTATCCTGGAAATTCAGAAAGGAGTATTTGAAGTGAAATCCACCAATGGGGACACTTTCTTAGGTGGTGAAGATTTTGACCAGGCCTTGTTACGACACATTGTGAAGGAATTCAAGAGAGAGGTTAGTTACCGTTGTGATTAATACGTAGGTACTGGGATGTTGATAATTTCTGTTGTGATTACTTGCCTTTGTTCACAAGTTTTTGTGCTGAAATAATGGCTTTTTTCCTTTTTTGGTGGATTTATTTTTTATTTTTTATTTTTTGCTGTAGTACTGGAGCTTGAACTCAGGGCCTACACCTTGAGTCAGTTCACCAGGCTTTTTTTTGTGATGGGTTTTTGCGAAATAGGGTCTCATGAACTATTTGTCTGGGCTGGTTTTGAATCATGATCCTCTTTATCTCTGCCTCCTGAGTAGCTAGGAGCAATTGGGGTTTGAATTCAGGGCTTCATGCTTACAAAGCAGGTGCTCTACCACTGGAGTCACACCTCCAGTCCATCTTGGTTATTTTTAGAGATGGGGGAAGGGTCTTAGAAACTGCCTGGTTTGGCTTTGAACCATGATCTTCCTGATCTTAGCCTCCCAAGTAGCTAGGAATATGGGTGTGAGTCACGGGCACCGGCTTAGATAAGTGCACTTTAGGTTCATGGGTAAATTTAATTATTCTGGTTATTGTAACTTTAGATTGGGAACAAAGAGATTGAATGTAAGTAGTGTTCATCATCTCACTAATGCTAGTAATGTGTGTCCTCACTTTGTAGACAGGGGTTGATTTGACCAAAGATAACATGGCACTTCAAAGGGTGCGGGAAGCTGCTGAGAAGGCTAAGTGTGAACTCTCTTCGTCTGTGCAGGTGAGACTTGGAAAATCTCCGGGGTCTTGATGGGAATGGTTAATTGTGGGGGGTGGAGTAGGAGAAGCCTATGAGGACGTAAGCACAGTTGTACTCAATATTCTACAGGCTGAGTTTGGCACAGCCCCAGCTGCAGAATAGGGCAAGAGTAAGATGCAGAGCAGCTGCTTTTCCTAAGATGTTTATGTCAAATAATCTGTAGGCTGAGATTTGGCACAGTCCCAGCCTCAGAAGAGAGCGAGAAAGCACTTCAGCTGCTTTCCCTCAATATCACACCCCTCCCCAAGAACTGTTGCTCCACCTCCTTATTTACTACTGGATATAAAAGATTGAAGGAGGACGTGATGTTTTTAGATGGGGGTTTTGGCTGAATGGAAGTTGCTAAAGGGGTTGGTAGAATTGGTTGGCAGCATGGGAGGGAACTGCCACTGTTGATTGTCTGCAAGTCTGAGGGCTGAGACTTTAAGAAAGCTAAAGAGATAACATGGGACAGTGCAAGTGTGCACTGAGAACTTTATACATAGGCCTTAGAAAGGCTAAGCTAAAGAAAAGCTAAGAAAAAACATGGGTCAGATCGGGTCTAAGGAAAGAGGCTTTAAGGAACAGAAAAGAAGACTTTAGAAGTGAGGTTTTTAAAGAATAGAAAGAAGAAAGACTTTAGAAGCAAGGTTTTAAAGAATTGTAAAGGAGTAAGGCCTTAAAGAATAGAGAAAAGAAGCAACGAGGCTGTTGTGTGTCTCCATCCTAGCACCCAACACATCTGACCCCAGCTTTCTGCATGTCTGTCAGTCTATCCTTTGTCCTTTCTGTATCTCCCATCTCCCCCAGTTAGGCCCAGTTAGGTTCAGTAGTTTCAGGAGCAAGAGAAAGATTGCTCCAGTTAGTCTGCATTTATTTGACTGGCATATTCTAGTTTATCTAATGGCATTGTATTCTCTTTACAGTTTTCTGATTGATTAAAAAAGACAAAGTTCATGAGCAAAGACAGTGGTCATCAGTTTGTTTTTCATAGAGAAGCTGATACCAAAATTAGTTTTATATATAGATCTATGTACATACAGATATGTGTATATTGGAGCCAAGTAAATACTAAGATTTGAATGAAGTGGATATACTTGTTTGCCTTTTAAATTGAGGACAGTTTTTATTTTTTATTCTGGCAGCACTGTTTTTGTGGCAGGGGGGTATGTAGGGGTGCTGGAGTTCGAACTCAAGGCCTCACACTTGCTAGGCAGGCACTACACTATTAAGTCATTCCGCCAACACTTTTTGTGTTGGGAATTTTTAGAGATAGGATATCTTAAACTATTTAGCTGGGCTGGCCTTGAACCACCATCTCTGCTTCTCAGGTAGCTAGGATTACAAGTGTGAGCCACACTTCCAGCACCAAGACAGATTACAGGGCTAGCACTACAAATTGCGAAAAAAAGACACTGGTTGTATTTACTTGTTTTTGGTGTTAGTGATAGAACCCAGTGCCTTGGGCTAGGCAAGGGCAAGTGTGCTACCAGTGCCCAAGGCTTTGCTTTAGAGTGTTGTCTAGCAATATGTAAAATTAGAATACTAGCCTGAAAAAATGCTGCCTTCACATAAAATTTTCACAAGTACATTTTCTTATGAATTGTGTTTATCTCTAAATCTCTCATTTAATAATTTGAATCACCAGTCTAGAAAATGTGCAAAAGAAACCTGGCTCATGTCTGAAATATTTATACCCATGCAAGTTTCCGTCTGAATATCAGATTTGTTTAGCCTCTGTTTAAGGTGTTATTAGCTTGTTTGGCTTCAGTTCTAAGCTTCATTTTAACTAGTAAGAACAAAATTGTACAAATAGTATTGGATTTGGGTTTCAGACCTACCAAGATGGAACTTCAGTGATCTATTTCTAGGTTCTTGGATGACAGCAGGAAGAGTAGAGTTGTGACTGCTTTAGTTGTTAGTTTGATCACCCACAGAAAAGAGGTATTTATGATAACTGTCATGGTGTTGTTAAAATGGTTGCTGCTGATTAACCTTTATTCAGACTGAGATTCTCATCTCTCTTCCCTCTTCACTGGTGCTGAACTCTGCCTCAAAGATGCTGAGCACATGCTGTATTATTGAACTATTCCCTAGCCCTCAGTTCTGGATTTTCTTTTTCTTTTTCTTTTTTAAAGGACTCTGAGTAGTGACAAAGTTATGCATGCCATCCTTGGTGTTGAAATGTTGTTTTGTTCCTGATACCATGTAGTATGGCAGAACGTTGCCACGTGATGTTTAGGATTGGGGTTTAGAATATGTAGCATTGGCCTTGGGGTATGAATCAAGTGATAGAATACCTGCCTAGCAAGCTCAAGGCTCTGGATTCAAACCCCAGTACTGTCAGAAAGAAAGAAAAAGGAACCCCAGAATATATGGCACTGCCGGAAGATAACTTAGAATTCTTCCTATAAATCTGATGCTTGTGGAACAAGGTGTTGGAGGAGGTTGGTTGGTTTTTATGTGAATTTGAATTGTTTTCCAGCATTCAGCCATTGAGAATCCTTAGTATTTAGTATTGAGAATCCTTGTATTTACATAGGTGACTGTAAATCTGTAGAATATCTAGAATCACATAATAACCTTTCAGAGTATATAGTGTGGTTTGGGAAGAAGATGGACATTAATTTTAAAACATTAACAAATGTCACACCAGAGGTGATACAAAGCAGAGGTGCTTAAGAGTGATTACTCTCAGGGCAGGGGCATACAGTCCAGTGATAAAACACTTGGCCTGGTTTGCATGAAGCCCTGGGTTCCATACTGTTTTTTGTTTTTTATCTACAAAATGAGGTTAATAGTGATATTTTCCCTGTTAAGAGTTGCGAGAATTACCAAATCAATACATACATGTAAAAAGCTTGAAACAATATGTATTGAATAGTGAGAACTATTGTTACTGTAAATACAGCAAGTGGTAAAAAGGACAGTTACATTTGTAATTACAAAAAGGAACTTGGCAGAAGTGGCATGTCAAGAATGGTTTTAGAGAGGTAAGTTGATCAGAACTAGTACGTATAAGACTCCCAAGGTGAAGAGCTGAGAAGGTTAGAATGGCAAAATTGCCAATGCTGGGAAGTGAGTTTGGCAATCATGAAAAATGAGGCTAGAGGCTTTATAGACTTTATCCCAAGATGAATGAGTATTGACCCTAGAAGAATTTTCATATGGGGTGATAATACGAGATTTTGATTTGTGAACAACCTTTTGAGATGGAATGGTGGGTTGTTTTCTAGGGTGTCCTGTGGCAGAGGGCAGCCTGATTGGTTAAGGGAAGACATGGGGAGGCTGGACACTGGGTGGTGAGAGGAAGGACTTTGGGCTAGAGTGTGGGAGTTAGTGGTTAGATTTGAGAGAGATGGAGAGTAAGCAGGATGGAACTTTGTGGTGGACTGGCTGTTGAGAGTTGGTCATCTGGAGTTTTTCCAGATTGCCCCTAACTGTATAGAACTGTGCTAATAGTGTTCACATGTGGGTATGTGAATTCTGTTCTCATTACACTAATCTTATTTAGGTGCTCATAAGACAGGTGTGGCAAGTGGTTGACAAATTGAACAGCTTTATCAAGAACATTTATTGTCACAAAGTTCTACAGGGATAGCATTGGTGTAGATAATTGTATTTCTTAAATCTGTTTTATTAGCAATTTGCAAAGAAAACTGTCAACAGTTTTTTGGTTTTTTTTTTTTTTCTTTCTTTTTTGGTGGTACTGGGGTTTGAACTCAGAGCCTCATGCTTGCTAGGTAAGCACTCTACCACTTGAGCCACTCTGCCAGCCCTTTTTTGTGTGTGTTGGATATTTTTGAAATAGGGTCTCATGAAGTATTTGCCTGGTCTGGCTTCAGATTGCAGTCCTCTTGATTTCTGCCTCCAGAGGTGCTAGGATGTAAGCCACCAGCACACAGCATCAACAGTATTATTAACTAATACCACTTCTGCAGATGGTGTGTAAAATCCTCATTATTCAGTGTTTAAATAGTTAGGGTACTTTCTCCTGAGGAAAAGTGTTTCAGGACTCATTAGCTCATTAAATTGGTCTGTAAATCTTATCTGCCTTTTCTTTGATGGAGATTTAAGCTAATTCTGTTCCTGGGAAGGAGTCTACTCCTGAGACACTATTCTTAGCAAATTTTGTGATGAATTTTGTTAGTTTAAATATTCTTATATGATTCCATGCCTTCTTAGGATTTGGAATCTATTAAATCCCAAATTGGATGTTTTATAGTGAGACTGTTAGCTGCTCTCCATGGATGTAATGGCAGTATAAGTCAGTCCTTGTACTTCTTTTTTTCTCTCTCTTTTTTTTTTTATTACAAGGCTACTTTAATACTTTGGGGTATGCCCCACAGGAATAAAAAACACTGGGAAGGGGTAACCACTTCACCCCCAGGAGTGGCCCAAGGGGAGAGAGGCTATCTGAGGGGAAGGAAGCACAAGAGAGACCCGCTGCAGACTCAGGGCAAAGGGAACGCCATCAGTGCTGGGACCTGTTGAGCACTACAGGAGGAAACGAGCATGGTGGGACTGGCTCCAGGCACTCAGGCAAAGGGAAAGAGGGTTGGACATGAAGCCACAAAGCTACTTGGGTTCTTGTTTGCCTTTTTCTGCTTCTGCTGCATGATCTCCGATTCCCTCTGCTTGCGGGTGGCAGCAGAAAGTCCCATCATCTTGGCACTTTCCCTTAACCAAGTTGCTTTGCTTTTTCATATTCTTCTGGCAGGTGAGCTCACGCTGGTTACCATGGGTCGTGGCTACGGCAGTGGCTCTGGCCTGCCTCTGTTGCGTCCCATCATTCTGGCTGATGTTGCAGGTCCTTGAAGTGCTTATAGAAACATTTCTTAAACTTAGAAAGCCAGGGTTGATAACCAGATTATTTGGTTAGAAACATGCCTTTAGCATCTTTGTGCATATGGGTTAATTTTTAAAACTTGTTGAAAGAAAACGTGTAGTGGAATTCTTAATATATGTCTGTTGGCAGAACAGTTCTTTCCCTCTCGTAGGAATTTTTCCTGTCACCTCCATTCTTCACTGTTAATATCTATAGAGCTTATTAAAATAGATTCTATATTGTTTATCTCTGGGAAGATGAGAGATTGCATCACTGACTTTGGTGGCTATTTAAAGTGAGTCTCACTCTACCTGGGACTTGGCAAGTCTTGTCCTAGGGCATGGTCGTATTTTAATTGAAGTGTTAAAGAAACTACCAATTTGTCTTCCCACTGACACAATTAAAAATTGCCTTTGCAGACTGACATCAACTTGCCATATCTTACAATGGATGCTTCTGGACCCAAGCATTTGAATATGAAGCTAACCCGGGCTCAGTTTGAGGGGATTGTCACTGATCTTATTAAGAGGACTATTGCTCCATGCCAGAAAGCTATGCAAGATGCAGAAGTCAGCAAGAGTGATATAGGAGAAGTGATTCTTGTTGGTGGCATGACTAGGATGCCCAAGGTATGGAAACATGGTATTCTTGTCATGGAGAAAAGAGAGGGCCACATATACACAATATATTCTTGGGAAAAGTGGTTTATGTTGTAAACATAAATAACTATGTGGGCTGTTCTGCCACAGTGACTTGAAAGGTAGATGAGCTAGCCTCACTAAAGAATTTTTAGCTTTTTTATTCATTTAAAAGGTATAAGAAAGAATTTAGGAGGAGTAGAATGTCTTTGGAGTAGCAGGGAGGATCCTAAATTCAGTCTTGTAAAAATTTTTAGGAATGGAACAGTTTGAGATCAAATGTAAAAACTTAGTGCCAACCACCCCTAGAGGGTCTTTTGTTCATTAACCATTAAGTACTTGGGACTACTTTTTGCACCTCTTCAAAGATTTGTGCAGTGATGCATTTTATTCATCAACACATCATTCTGAAAACACAGATGTGTAGAAAACTAATGACTGAGCACAGACTTATTGAAGGTGCAGTTTTTCCTTGGTAGTTTGAACAGAATTTTGGGCTTAAGTAATGATCTTGTTTTTTCTTAGTTTTTTTGTTTTGTTGTTGAAACACACGGGCTTAGGAAAATGAGCCCAGAATAAACATGGGTGGGAAAGCTACAAATCAGGACACAATTAACGATAACAAACTTTCCAAGCTGCTATTTCCAATAGCACTTTTTGTTAGTACTAATAAACAATGTAAAAATGTACCCCCATTTTAGTAACAGTGTTGAGTTATTGTTGCTGCTTTCTTTAAATTGTTGCACAAGTGATAATGTAAAACAGGGCATGGTCTACACAATTAATAAGGACCCTTATACCGTTTCAGATGATATAGTTAATATTTGAGAAAACAGATAAAAATTTTAAGCAAATTCTTCCCAGATTTATTTATTTGTTTATGGTGAGACTCAGGGCTTGCAAAGCAGGTGCTCTATCGTTTGATTCGCACCTCCAGTCCTCTTCCCAGATTTGAATGGCCAATGAGATGCTCTGATTAAATTGTGTTACCAAAACATAAATAAGACTAAGTTGAGTAAACATTCTTATATCTGAATCGATCTGTCTTGACATCTGGCATCTTAGGATGTGTTCTCTGTCTTCTCCGCTGGGGCAGTTATTCTGGATATTGAGTAACAGGTTCTTCTTCATACTAGGTTCAGCAGACTGTACAAGAACTATTTGGCAGAGCCCCAAGTAAAGCTGTTAATCCTGATGAGGCTGTGGCCATTGGAGCTGCCATTCAGGGAGGTGTATTGGCTGGTGATGTTACAGATGTGCTGCTACTGGATGTCACTCCCCTGTCTCTGGGTATTGAGACTCTGGGAGGTGTCTTTACCAAACTTATTAACAGGAATACCACTATTCCAACCAAGAAGAGCCAGGTAAGAACCATTCTTCTTGTGCCTCCTCACTGAAGTATTAGGTTCTGTGAGTGATGTAATTAGAACCACTTTGTGAACTTTTTCTTTAAAACCTTTCTATTTTGTAACCCAGACTAGTTGACTTGGTGGTGAGAGCCTTTCTGTTTTTTTGTTCCTGGAAAAGTTCTTAAATGTCAGCTAACAGACATTAATAGTCTTCATCTTTTAAAGAGTCAGTCTTCTGTTCTCAAAGGCAAGAGAGTAAGCCTGACTTGGAGCTGTGAGAGTGCTCAATTTCTGGGTGAATGATTGGGACTGAGGTACCAAGCAGGGCTATACAGGGATGGCTTGGTCTTAGGTGAAGAATTATTTCTGTAGCAGGCTGGGATGGTGCACGGCCTGTAATCCCAGCACTCCAGAGACTGAGGCTGGAGAATCATATTTCCTATCTTGAGTTTTTCAAAAAACTGCAGCTATTGTTGCATTTATGTGGTGATATATTTGTCAACACATCATTCTGAAGTATGTGGTGACTTCCTGTGGCTGAGCACATGAAATCACCTGTCTTAATCTTTGTTTGCCCCGATATGCAAATTTCCAACATTTTAGCTCCTTGATTCCTTTTTGTGCTAATGCTGCATCTTTGTACAATGCATTTGCTTAGTTGAAACAATAACTGTTGTTTGCTCTTTTGCTATGCTAATCCTACTCCTGTTCCCTATAAAGACATAAGCCTTTGTTCTGAGTGTAGTGTACATTAGAATCCATCCAGTGTTGGAATGTGTATTTGTCTGGTTTGCCTTTTCTTCTGTGTAAGGGGAGTAGTTTAATCAAGATTGCTAACCCAAATTTTCTTCCTTACTAGGTGTTTTCTACTGCTGCTGATGGACAAACTCAAGTAGAGATTAAAGTATGTCAGGGTGAGAGAGAGATGGCTGGAGACAACAAACTTCTTGGACAGTTTACTTTGGTAGGTACTATGATCTGAATGTTGTACTCCTCAGTAACTTCACTGTAAAGTTAGACAGTATTCTAACCAGTATTTGTGCAGATAAATTTTGCAACCCATTGTTTCAGTTTTACCTGAAAGCCTTGCTTATGTCTTGGAACTTCATCAAGAAGTTTATAAATATAAAAGCCAGGGAAATGTTCAAGACCAGTGCTAACTCAGAAATTCCTTACTTTACTTGCTTGTTCATTTAAGAGACATTTGGTAGTTACTGGCTTTCAATTAACATTGCTTATTGGTTCCTGGTGGTGTGAACTTTAGTAAGGTTTCCTCTCATTTGCTATCCCCAGTTACATATAGCCATTATGGTCACTTGTTATAGCTAACCTTCACTGATGTATGCCCTGTTAATTTCAGGCAGCAATGAAGTAACAACCCTTAGTTAATGAAACTACTACCCTCCCTTATAAACTTGTGTTTTTGTACCTTAAGTACTTCTTCCCAGGATGCAAGTTCATTCGTTCACAAGAAAATACAGATTTGGAAATGATAGTGGACTGCTCTCTGAGAGGCCAGCTTACTCTGGCTATTCATTTATTTTAGATTGGAATTCCTCCAGCTCCTCGTGGAGTCCCTCAGATTGAAGTTACATTTGACATTGATGCTAATGGGATTGTACATGTTTCTGCCAAAGATAAGGGCACAGGACGTGAACAGCAGAGTAAGTCTTCATTTGTCAGACCATAAAAGTGAGGCAAGAGGCTGGGGTTTATAGCTCAGTGGTATAGAATTCTTACCTAGCATGCATGATGCTAGGGCTTTGATCCCTAGCACCATGGGGTTGGGGAACCTTTGTTAGGAAATAGACCCTCTTATGTGCCTATCTTTTCTCTCCCATAGTGGGAGGGTAATAAAAGTCATTGCCTTTTTTCAGTTATTCAGTTTGTTTTACAAGTGTAACGTTTATGGGGAAGGGAGGCAAACAGGCAAAAACTAACCCTATATAGATTGGTGAAGTTTCACCTATTTCAGATCCTTGGTTTCTTTTTGCTTATTATAAGACAATAGGAAATTTATGGTTTGCATGGTCAGTATTGGTGCTAGGAGGAGTAATGTTTCCTTTGGTGGTACTTGGGATTTGAACTCAGCCTTGCACTTGATAGGCGTTCTGCCATTTGAGCCATGTCCCTAAGCAATAGTGTTTCTTAATGCCATAGAGGAAAAAAACTAATGAGATGCCTCTCTCCCATCCCCTCTTATTAACTACAGTTGTAATCCAGTCTTCTGGTGGGTTAAGCAAAGATGATATTGAAAATATGGTTAAAAATGCAGAGAAGTATGCTGAGGAAGACCGGCGAAAGAAGGTGATTGCTTTTGCCTTTTGTGGAGGTTGGAAATGTCATTGATACTGTACTTCTTATTTTTCCTTTTTCCCACAAATCTGTCATTCTTTCCCCCTTTTTAATTTGACACAGGGGCTTGCTTTATTGTCCAAGCTGGCTTCAAACTCCTGGGCTCTAGTGATTTTCTGTCCTAGCTTTGGAATTAGCTGGGGTACCTGGCTTGGAATGTTTTTGTCCATTACTCTTCCTGTCAAAATTCCCATGTTACAGCATCCAGTTCAGATCTCTTTCAAGGGCATCCTGGACTCCCTCAGAGCATAGTAATTTCTCCTCCTTAGCTCTATTTTTACTCTTAACTGTATGTAGCAAGTACTTAACTGTGTTATTCAAAACTTGTAATTTCTCTAAGGAACAAGTTGAAGCAGTTAATATGGCTGAAGGAATTATTCATGACACAGAAACCAAGATGGAAGAATTCAAAGACCAATTGCCTGCTGATGAGGTGAGTTATTTTTGAGTGGCATTGAAGTTCTTTTTTCTATAGATCTCAGTAAAAACTCCTAAATATTACCACTCTATGTAATGGTACAGCGAGAGTACTTGGAAACGATAAGATTTTTGTTTTTCCTTTTTTTTTAAGTGCAACAAGTTAAAAGAAGAGATTTCCAAAATGAGGGAGCTCCTGGCTCGAAAAGAGAATGAAACAGGAGAAAACATTAGGCAGGCAGCATCCTCCCTTCAGCAAGCATCATTGAAGCTGTTCGAAATGGCATATAAGAAGGTACAAGGAAGGGCTGGGGATGTAACTTAGTGGCCAGGACCCTGGGTTCAATCTTTAGCATTAAGGAAGGTGGGGGGAGATGCACAGGAACTGAAGGATATTTTGGTCCTAACTAACTTTATCCTGACTTCAGTTGTACCTGCTTTTAATTACTGTCACTGTGGCTTCCTGCAGTTATTATGGAATCGAATAAGAATTCTACTTTTGGGATGGGGGTAGTATCAAAGGGAAGGAGTCACAAAAAAAACATACAATGGAGGGGGTGGAATAGAAGCACCAGATCAGGTGCTCAACAGAAAAACTGACTAGTATTCAAATTTTTTCTTAACAGATGGCATCTGAGCGAGAAGGTTCTGGAAGTTCTAGCACTGGGGAACAAAAGGAAGATCAAAAGGAGGAAAAACAGTAATAGCTGGAGTATATTTTGGAGCAGAAAGGACAGCATACTATGAAGCTTGGGAGTAAAGGGACTTCTGAGCAGAATGGGCAAACTTCAACCTTTTTACTGTGTTTTTGCAGTATTCTATATATAATTTCCTTAATGTGTAATCTTAGTGACAATTAGCTAATGATCACATAATGGGCGATGAATCCAACAGTAGAAAGTTCACAACATTCTGTCCCTAGCTTGTCATTTTTCAGCGGCATATAAGGGGTGGGGGAAGGATTTATTGGTCATTATAAAAATGTACCTTTGGTTTGTGGTGAAGTGGCCATATTTTTAAGGGGTAAAGTCATTTCACATGCACTGAAGGTAGTCTGCCGTGGATCTGGAATGAGACTGGAGATGAAAAATTCCTTCTAGTTCTCCAAGATTCTCTATAATGAACAGCTTGCATGCAAATGTCCTTCAACTGAGACCTCACAAGGCAGGCCAGCCAACTGTGCCATGTTTGTGGTTGCAGAAGCTGTCAATGGAAAATTAAGCTAGCTATTTATGTTAGGTATAGCTATTAAAATAAGGTAGTGATGAAGTCCTAAATGTTTCTAAGGCATAGTTTTCTAGCTATTTTCTTGGACTGTGTCTCGCACCTACATCCTTGATCATTATTTTAATCCATCATGGATTTTTTTTTTTAATTAAATATGAAAAGCATTTTGATCTCTTTATGATTGGTAGCTTTAGGACCATACTTTCTATATTTTCAAGAGGGGAAATAAACAGGATTTTATAACTGGCTAAAAATAGAAACATTTAAGATTTGGAAGGACTGACATAAAATAGTAATAAACATCAGCATAGGCAAACCTATGTTAGGTTTTTTTAGATTTCTACCTGAAAACTAGGTCTGTATTTTCAGGATGCTTTCAGCTTTAACTAGCAAAAAAAAAAAAAAAAATCCAGTCAGAAATGGCTTTAAGAAGAAACTCGTATCTAGCAGGGCACCAGTGGGTCATGCTTATAATCCTAGCTACTTTGAGACTGAAATTGGGTGGTTCAAAACCAGCCCAGGCAAATAATTCACAAGATCCATCTCCAAAGTAATCAGAGCAAAATGGACAGGATGTGTAGCTCAAGTACTAGAGCACCTACTTTGCAAGTGGAAAGCCTTGAGTGCAAACCCCAGTACCACAAAAAAAAAAAAAAGAAGAAGCCAACATTTCAGTGACTGAAAAATAACAGGAACACAGTTCTTTCCCTGTGTATTTTCCATCCTCAGTGTACTGGGTTGTCCCAAATTTTGTGATGTGGATTTTTTTTTTTTTTTTTTGGAGACAGGATTTCACTATATAGCCCAGGCTGGCTTTAGCCTCCTAGGCTGGGATTACAGGTGTGGGCCAACAGGCCAGGCTGTAAAACGCTTTTATCACAGGCTGACAGCTTCACCAGAAAGGTGATCAGAATTATTTCCCAAGCCTGCCAGCAGAGTTCTCTTCATGTTTCATGGATAGTTTGGATGGACTTAAATTATCTGATGTATCTCCTTTATGTTGTTGCTATTTCAAAATGAACTTCTCTTTTGAGAATCAAGTTAATACTCTGATGTGAAGGAAGTGATTTAATTACATCCCTGGAAAGTACAGTGGCAGTAACCCCAGCTATGAGGAAGGTGAAGAACGGGGGATCGCAGTTTGAGGTCAGCCTGAGCATCTCAACTAATAAAAGGTGGGTGTAGTGGTGTTTGTCATCCAGCTACATGGGTAAATAGAACTGAGGTCGAGGCTGGCCAGGGCATAAAGTGACACCCTCAAAAATAACAAAACAAGAGCTAGAGGTGTAGGTTCAAGAGGTGGAACACCTGTCTAGCAAGCACAAGAACTTGAGTTCAAACCCCAACATTGTCAAAAGTTGCTGGTGTGTGTTTGTAATTCCCAGCACTCAAAGTAAGGCAGAAGGATCACAAGTTTGAGGCCAGCGTGGGCTACAATAGCAAGACCCTATCTTTAGTGAAAAAAAAAAAATCTTACAATTCATGTAAAAAAATTCTAGACCCATATTTTCAGCCACATGAATTCTTAATGGGAACCTTATGTGAGGATATGCAGTGATTCTTAATTATGAAGGATTATTTTCTGGTATTAGAAGATGCCTTTGAGTGCCTCTCCTGTGCCTCCCAGGATTTACAAAAGTACCCCACCCTGAATGTATTACTCATGGATCATCCTTGGGATCAGGGAAAGGAACCAAACATACTCTGAGCAAAATTTGGGTTTCATTAGGAAGGAGGGAGAATTGCTGCTTGGGAGTATGTACCTATGACTACTGTCAAACTACCTTGTAGGTAGGAATGAATACAATGCATTGCATTACCTACCTATTAAAACTGATAATGCAAATAGCGTTGATAGTTTAATTAAGATTCCTTAGAGATGTAGGACATATACCTAGACTGGGATTTCCCACAAGGAATTAGCTCACAATTGGAGAAACTGATAAATCCCACAATCTCCTGTCTCCAAGTTGGAGACCCAGGAACATTAATGGTGTGAGTCTTAGTCCAAGGTTAAAAGATCATGCCTTAGCTGAATCAAGCAAAGCATTCCAACCTGCCTTTTCTATTTGGGCCCTTACTTGGATGGTGCCCACGCACTGGGGCAAGGCATGCTGTTTTGCTCTAAAGTCTCCCTTTTATGGTCTTGATTAGATCCCAAAAGTAACTCCTAATTTTTCTCTTCATTCTTTTTTTCATTGGTCTTTACAGTTCTAAAGTAAATAATGCTGGTCAACAAATCTTAACAAAGTACATAACATATTACATGTCTACTCATACTTTAGTGGTAACTTAATAGTTACCACTTGGAATTTTCCAAGTTTTAACTGGTCTTCCCACTTAACTCTCAGATTATGTCACTTCTGTGCTCAAAGATGTTCCCAAGGCCTATGGGCTCCACATAATCTGGCTGACCACTTTTTTCTCTTAATTTTATCTTTGACTTTTGCCCTTGGTGGAAAAGTGTTCTTGAGATTTCTATTTGGCTCACTCTTCACTTCTTAATAGGTTATGAAATGTTGTTAAAATAAAAACAGGAACTTTTTGAAGTCCCTATCAATTCATATTCTTATCCTACTCTGTCTTGGCATTTATAACCATTTATTGTTTTCCCCACTCTAGTGTAAGCTCCATGAGACCAGAAAGTTTATTCATTGCTATTTCCCAGCACCTAGAATAATGCCTGGTAGGTAAAGACAAACTCAAAGAATCTGGGTGACTTGAATCCTGCAATTTAGATAGCAAGGCCCTTGGGGGGTTTTTTTGTTTTGTTTTGAGGCAAGGTCTCCATTTAGCCCAAGCTGGCCTTGAACACAATTCTGCTTCAGCTTTCCAGTGCTGGGATTACAGGTATAAACTGTGACACCAGACAATTACTTTTTAGGTGATATATAAATTATACCCTTTTCTGTCAGAGTAGTAGAGTCCACTTACATCAAACCTAGAAAGTGTTTTGGTTTGTGGTGCTGAGGTAAAGATCAGACCCCAGGACATTACCTCATGCATGTTAGGCAAGCATTATACCTCCAGTTGGTTTTGGGGTGGTTGTTACTGTTTTTGGACAGTCTTACTATGTTGCCCCTGCTCTAGAACTCATGGGCTCAAGTGATTCTCCTACCTCAGTCTTTCAGGTGGCTAAGATTAAAGGTACATATCACTCTACGTGATAAGTTAGTGAGAATTCAAGGAGAAACTGACCAGTCAAGAATCTGGCCTGAGGTTTCCCTGGGCAACAAAAAAGAACTGGGATGAACAGAATAAATAGTAATCCCATTTCAGTTTGTTTTGCACTGCTGAACTGCAGACTAATATATAGTAAACTACTTACTGGTTCACAACTCTGGAGACCAGGAAGTGCAAGAATTGAGATGCTGACATCTAGCAAGAGCCCTCTTGTGGCATCACTCTAGGCAGAAGGGAAAAGAGTGGGCAAAAGAGCAAGAGATTGAACTTGAAGCCTCAAGCACTTTTATAGTTGGCAGTAACAGATTGATGAAGGTGAAGCCCTTATAACTTAACACTTCCCATTAGGCCCTACTTCCCAAGATCTGAATTGGGGATTGTTTCCAACACATGCTTTTTGGAGGGAGAATTCAAACCATAGTACTATCCTTTATACTTCCCAGGAAGGTATAAAGAATTGGAGTATAGTTTCATTGCAGACATCCTCTGATCTTAAAAACATTTATGCTGCTTGCCCAAGTGGATTATTCCCCCCCTCCACTTTTTGACATTTTCAGACATAATTAGAAAAACTATATAAAAGTTGTGATTGTGGGGCATGCCTATAATCACAGAGCTCACAAGGCTCAGCCTAGTCTACCTAGGGAGTTCTAGGCTAAACTGGCCTATGTATCAAGACCCTGTCTCAAAAAAAAAAATACAACATATAAATCTCACAAATTCACCAATTAACATTTTGCCACCTTATACATTCATAAGTATGCACACAATTACACATGCCTTCAGAACAATAACTTTACCCTAAATATTTCAGCATACATCATAGGAAAGAACATTCTTCCCAGAAATAACCAAAATCATGAAGTTTAGCACTGGTATAATTACCAAGTGATACATAATGAATTTTCCCTAGTTATCCAGTAATTTTTCATTTAGAATCAAACCAAAGGCTCTTGAGTTCAACATGGAACTTGATTATATCTCCTTTTATCTAAGGACAGTTCCTTTGCCTTTGTCTTTTCATAACATTGACATTTTTGAAGAGCATAGACGCTCGTTTTACATTTGTTCTTAGTTTGGGGTCATCCAATAATCTTGTAATAAGTATTAGGAATCCTACATAGCTGTTGTGTCCTTATCAACACATCAGTTCTCAAGGAGAACATATCAGATCATTTCATTTATTTTCTGCGATACCAGAGCTTGAACTCAGGGCCAATACCTTGAGCCACTCCACTAGGGTTTCATGAACTATTTGCCTGGGCTGGCTTTGAAACACAGTCCTCCTAATCTCTGCCTCCTGAGTAGCTAGAAATACAGGCTAGATTGTTCCATTTCTTTGTTCCACATTTGTTCATTATAAAACTAACTGTAGAGGTGACTTAACATTTATAGTACAGCTTCCATAGAAGGAAGAGTTAAGATAAAAGCAAGGTCTTACAGATGGTACAGGGCTGGAGGTGTGGCTTTAGTAGGATACCTGCCTAGCAGGTACAAGGCTCAAATCAAATCCCAGTACCACAAAATGTGGAACTGAACTAAGCTATTAAGTATCTTTATTGAGTTAAGGCACCGTGGGGAGCATTAAGTACTTGCCTTCCCAAATGATTAAAGATCATGCCACAGACTGCCCGGGCTAAATATTCTTACGTATGGATAGACCTACCCCAGCTAGTGAGCTCTCCCTAGAACAAGATTCTCAAGTCTTTTATTTATCTACTGAAAGAATGAGGAAGTTTTAGTTGTCTGTAGGCCTTAAATTTTTTTTTGTTTTGGTGTTACAGAGCTTTGAACAAAGGGGTTCATGCTTGCAAAGCAGACAATCTACTGCTTGAAACATACCTCCAGTCCATTTTGCTCTGGCTATTTTAGAGATGGGATCTTTCAATTATTTGCTTCGGCTGGCCTCAAGCCTCAGTCTCAGCTTTTCAAGTAGCTAAGATTGGCGGGCAGGAGGAGTGGCTCAAGTAGCAGAGTGCCTGCTTAACAAGTGTGAGGCCCTGAGTTCAAGCCCAGTAATTCTCACCCCAACCCAAAAGAAGTAGTTGCTAGGATTATAGGCATAAGCCACTGGCATCCTGCTCCCAATATCTACTTAATCTAACAAGATTACTAGTTCACATAAAGATGTTTGGTCTTCTAGAGAAGAAACTGCTGAACAGCAAGGAACTTGAGGGTAGACTAGATAACTCCTTTTATCAATTTCCATGTACTTCATGAAGTTG